TGTATAAAAAGTTTAAATATGATTGGATAGAACAATAATTAAGCTATCATATAATAGTAGAATAAATATATCGATGTAAAATGTTTTTGTAGTTTCTATAAATGCTCCTTTCAGTTCCTTTCCTTTGTAAATTGTGAAAAGTATTGTGTATGAAATTATATCTGTTTGAAAGCTACAGAAATTTTATTAAATAAAAAAACATAACCTGAAATAAGGTAAACTTTATACAGTTGAATAGATAACAGAAAGCTTTATTACAAATTTAACAGTAACAAATGTACAATGTTTAGATAAGGTTTTTTTCATCATAAGGTACAATTCATTTATTTAAACATAGAAATATATGTATTCAGTATGAAACAAATAATTCACGTGGCTGGAAATTGCTCAAGGCTTAATGAAAATATTTTGTTAATTTTAGTTCCTTTGTTTAAATACAGTGTATATAACTTAATAGGTATACTGTTGTTCTAATGATTTACAGTGTTTGTAAATATATATATATATATATATATATATGTTTGTTTGTTTTTCATTATGATTATCAAATTGTACAAGTTTAGTTAAGTTTACTGTTTAGTGAGTGTGGTAGATAACTGCAGTTTACTGTTTAGTGAGTATGGTAGATAACTGCAGTTTACTGTTTATTGAGTGTGGTAGATAACTGCAGTTTACTGTTTAGTAAGTGTGGTAGATAACTGCAGTTTACTGTTTAGTGAGTATGGTAGATAACTGCAGTTTACTGTTTATTGAGTGTGGTAGATAACTACAGTTTACTGTTTAGTGAGTATGGTAGATAACTGCAGTTTACTGTTTAGTGAGTATGGTAGATAACTGCAGTTTACTGTTTAGTGAGTGTGGTGACACTGACAAGTCAAGATGCAAGGTGATGCTCATATGAAGACTGACTCAGACACTGACAAGTCAAGGTGCAAGGTGATGCTCATATGAAGAAATATTTTTGTCTATCGTACAGTTTGCTTCTTGCATTTACATAACCTTAAGAACCTCTGAAATACATATCTGCAGTTTTCAGTATCCTTGTATGATGTATCTAATATCTACTCTCTTCTATCACAAACTGTTGTCAAATCAACAATGTATGGTAAAATGAATAACTGATAACTCTGACATAAAATACATGATACAATGTTGAGTGGCACTCTGTAATAGATCTTAGGATTAAAGAATATGATATGGATTGCATTAAAAAATTCTTTCTTGCCAGCAAAAAAAGTTAGGCCACCTTCTGTCAAGAAAATGTGTTCACAGTGATATTAGGATCAGTGTACCAAATTAAATGTAAACACTGTGACAGTTCTTACATTGGAAATATTAACTAACAGCTTTTCACAAGGTTGAAAGATCATTTGAACACATAGTTAGACATATCCACCCCTTTGAATTTTTTCTATGTTGAAATCATTGAAAAATATCAAAGAAGCACTAACATTAATAGATGTTAAACATACTGATGAATAAATACATTTATTATAATTTCTGTTTTCCTTACTTAGCTATTGCTGATTTTTAGTATATCTTATTACACATATGGGTTCAGTCAATCTGACCAACCAAGTAACCACCATGAAAATATATATACTATAACTCTGAATGTTAATAAGTGCATCTTAATGAAATTCAGTGGATTTTAGGAACCATTACAAGTCTGTTGTACAAAAAACATCAAATTTTAAATTAAGTATGTTTACTAAGGATTTGTAGGTGAACTTATGAAGCTATTACCGAGTCAATCTCAGTGAAATGTGATTTTCATGCTAAGAATAAAAATATTTATTTTCATCTTACAGTTTTCATATTTCATTTGCATAACCTCCTGAAATTCTTAAATGAATGTCAAGTTTCTTTTTAGCAAAACTTTATACTTTATCTCTAGATTTTCTAAATCCTAACACTAACTGTCATGAAATCGTTACTGAACAGCACAATGGAAAATTTAAAAATATGAAATAAAATCAATAATGTGCCTTTTTCTTTCTAGTATGACTGCAGATTATAACAGAAAATTACAATTATTTATTCTAACAACCTCAGCTATTAATATCCAATTTCTTTTAATTTTATAACTTAATAACTGTACTTTAGACCTTCTCTGTGAGAGAGCTCAGGGTAAATAAACATTCAGGTTACAGTATGCAATGCATGTATCATGAGCTGTTTCCTTATGGACTGATGTTTTGAAATTTTTTAAGCAATTTGTTTTTTATCCAAGTTTGTTTCTGATTTTTACATTTTAGTTACTTTTGTTAAAAATATAAAATATATAACAGTTAATAAAACTAATATACATAAAAATCAAGGAACTGAACACTTAATTTAGACATTGAAACCATTTATACTTGAAGGTCACTCTTCAGTACCCTTACTTTTTTTCCCACTCTGTTGTCTGTCAAAAAACAATTCACATAGCTTTGAAATACACATTTCAGAACATAAAATGTATCATGCAGCAGGGCTGTGTGCAGGAATATAAAGATGACAGCTACTAATGGGAGGAACATTAAATACACACACACACACACCAGTCCATCACATTTGAAAAATGAACAAGGGCTGTAAACAGTCCCCCCCAAACAGTCCATGGGGGCTGTTAAATGACTGATTTCATATTTCAGTTCTTTGTTTACAAAACTGGACAGTAAACGTTAATTTGTATTGACTGAATTGTACTGTTTTTCACTTAACAAAACAGTTTTGCTGGCTAAACTGATACATGTTTACAGCATGCCACTGAGCTGTGATGACCTTTGCTCAATATGGCAGTCCTTGCAGCTTCCTGTCATGCAGAAAGTAGTTCATCAAATGCAATTTAGTTCTTGATTAAATCTACTAAATCTCTTCTTGCTGGTCTGAATTTTCTAGTAATTAATATCCAATTATATAATTTAAACTTTAAAACACTGACTTAGTTCTGATGTCTATGTACAACAACATAATTGAAGACATTGTATTACTGCATATGTAATATCACTTGTCAATTAAAACTAAAGTATTGGAATCACAGCAGCCAAGAGGGTCACATAAACTAATCTGTGAGCTTTTCTATGTATACAAACAACAGCTGACTACTTAACCAATGCCATGAGATATAATAACAGAATCTCATTTCAAAAGTATATACAACTGAGTGAGGATAAAAGGGCCAATAGTGAGCCCAAAACAGCAAGCATCATGACAGACTTGACAGGGGCTCTAACAAGCCCTTGCAAAACTCATTTTACAAGTGCTTTCAAGCATCAGTTTAATGGTGCCCATCAAACATGAAAGGCTGACAAACACACATAAACCATATAAACTCATGCACATATATCACTTGCATAGAAATGAACAGCAGTACACTCACCTAAATGGTTGAGTCCATTTACAAAGATATTATGGGAGACTAGCTTGCCCCCTTTGTGCACACTATCAAGTAGAGTAGAGTAGAATGTTCCAAAACAACTATCATTTATCTGGCCTTCTAACTTAGCTACAAACAGTTTTAAAGAAGTTCCGTTACTGCTCGATGAAACAATTCTGCTCAACACACAAGAAGCTTTCCTTGTACTCTTTTGACACTGACTGCCAAAACTAAACAAATGAATGTCAAATTTCTGTAAATTACAATATGTTTTTTCTACTGGTTATAAAATGACCATCAGATAAGTAAGCATGAGTGAATAACTGGCTTAAAATGTATGAAAAGATGGAAGGTGTTTCTCTTGTCGGTTGGACAAGTTTACTGATATCTCACCAAATCAATGGTGTAAGAGGTTCAATTTCATATTCTTGCTCATCATGTGTGTGTTTCTAATTGGTTAGAGACAATAGAATCTGTACTGTTGAAGTTATAAATATAAGTGGAAGAGAGTTAAGAGTGTATAAGTGTCATGTGATATAGAAGAGTGAAGAATGAAAATGTTTAAACATATTTCCTTTTGAAATTATGACATTAAATTATGACATAATATCAAAATGCAACTTATAAACTATATTTTGATGTCAAATTTATTAAATTACATTGACAATAAAGTGGTTTAATTAAAATGGTGAATGTAATTCTGCAAAAAAAAGATTGTGACACTTGCATTTTGATCCACTCTAATGTGTGGGGTTAATGATGTGATAACATTACTAATACAATAACACCTGAAAGTTTGAGCTGTTATACAATCCTATTCAAAGTTCACCACCTAGTAATGCTAGGCAAATTTAACAAAGTGATTTTTTAAGAAAAAAAAACTTTTGAATTATATTTATTTGTTTATCCATAAATAAACAAAAAATAATAATAAATCTTATTTGTAAATCCATAGACATTTCATTAACCCAAAAGTAACTATCAAAAATGCAAAATGTTAAACTAAGTTCAAACAAACTTTTGAGAATCAGACAATATTTATTGGATTTTTCTTATTAGTGTAAAGCTTTTATTCTTTCATGGGAAAAGCTCAATCAAAAAAAGCCTTTTACAAACGATAAAATCAAAATATATTCAGAAAAGTAACACTAACTAATGCAACATTCTATGGGCTTTTAATATTCATTCTTAAATGTATAGTTACAATTCTACTTTTACTAAACACATCAAGATACATATGTTCATTATGTTTTTGTTTTTCAAACAACAAAACAAGTAAATGAACATTAAATTTCAAACATTTGTGCAACATAAGTAAATTTTCAGAAAGGTAGCTTGACTATTGGCTATAATTAAAAAAACACTAAGATGTTAACACAGGCAACTAAATTTTGCTGCCATTTCAAAAATATTTGAGTATACTTTAGTTTTTTTTTAGAACTTCTTAAGTATTCAACTTATGTTACCAAATATTGCCAAAGGACATCTTGCACCTCAAGTGCCAAACTATGTACTTGATTTTAGTATTTTACATCACTACATATTTTAGCTGATATGCAAATTTAAAGATTTATACAACATAATTCATCTTCATGAATGAAAACAAATTTCAAAAGAAAAAAAGCAAACCTTTACTTACATGGCCCATTAGTTCCATTTGGGTAAATCAGTGCCCCATTCACCACTGCCATGTTTAATATTTATATTGCTAATTGCTTCTGTTTTCAGTTCTTTTCTGGCTTGAACATGGTAGCAGTTGTTAGCCTGCATAACAATACAAAACAAGAAATACATAAAATATTCCCAATTTTTACAGTGTTTATAAATACAGTTTTCATTGTCTCACAAAAACTGCCTGCTACAAATTGGCACCTTTCTCCAGTATTTAAAGTTTAATCAACAACAAGCTGTGAAAATATAGAGTGTACCATACATTAGTCCATTATATACATAAACTTTAAATATGGCTACTGGTATAGCAGAAATAAACAAATATGTGAAGGAACCAGGGCAGAAAACTACCCCTGTGATATGCAGGCACATCATGTTTTCTACCTGAATTAGTTGTACAGAAATGTTTAACTTTTTCCAATTATTTAGTTTCAATGCTGTGATGGCAGCAACATGTGGTCCACAAAATCATTAAAGTTACCTTGTTCTAGTTGTTTTGTTTCTTTGTTCTCTAGAGCAGGTAATGTCCACTCTGCTCGAGAAGATATTGCAGTAGCATAGAGCATATGGATTTGCAATGTAATATCCTTTGTTGGTCGAGTCTGATGTCCATTAAATGTAACAGCTGACTAATGATGTAAGAGAATAAAGATCTCAAGATGATGATGTCAGCTGGACAAACAAAGCAAGTTTACCTGTTGAAATCTGATGAGCTTTCTTTCAGCAATTCTTCTAAGAGACAGACAGTTAAAGATGTATCTCAAGAATATCGTGTTTTAGTTCTATGGAGATTAATCCTGAGGGAAAGCTGTGGAGCTAAGCACAACCTAACAAAATTTACTGTCTGTACTTGTGTGCAAGTACATACCCAGCATTTTCTTTTTTGTTTGTCAAAGACTGTTTTCCTTTTTACAAGCTCTGTCCAGTCTCATTATTTTACACATATGCACACTAGTAGGACTCAGTTAAGTTATATGATCTAAAACACACTCCTTATTTCCTGAACAAATCCTTAGTTATTTGCAGTTCCATCTATAACTTGGAAGGATTTAGCAATTGTTACCTCAAAGTACCCCCCCCCCCCCAACCAACTGTCAAACACTGTGGTAGGTGAAGGTTTAGATGCTCTGCAAAGCCAATAAGACAAAATGGTTCCAAAAATTTAACAAATGCTATATCATTTTTCTATGGTAATTTAGAAGACGTTGAAAGTCGTTTAGAATCTATAGATGAAGCAGCTCACATCTCAGGCTGAAACGATCTTAGAAGGGAGATATTTATCTTTAAAATAAGCAACAGCAAAAGGCAGAACTGTCATAAATGCCACTAAATTTTATAATAAACATCAAGTATAAGAGCAAAACAAAAATGCTGTCATAAGAAAACTCACATTTTTCATTTACTTTTTAATGTTTCTGTAAACAACTTCAAAGATTTTAATTTTATAGAAAAATAAAACAACTGATAAATAACCAGAATATTAAGTGATAAAAACACCTCACCTTGCCTAACAAGAGGGAAGTCAGATACAACAGACTTTAGTGGATTGTTGTAACAGGCAACCCAAGTATCTGATGCACTACATTATAACTTTTGTTTTTACACTTTATTGATCATGATAATTGTCAAAACAGACAGAAGTTGTTAGGAGTCTTCTACCATATTTTTCTAGCATTAAACAATATGACTTTTTTTAGAAGTATCCTTTCAGTTTGTCTTTCTCTGAAAGTTTAGAATTATATATGCAGAACATGACATTTATGCTTTAGGTTTAATTTAGAGAGCTGCCTATAGCTTTATGATATCACCAAAAATATTTAATCAGTAAAAGTTTTTCAGTGAGAACTACTGCCTCCTATAATGTTTATGTATGAAGCATGTCTTTACGTGGAAGAATCTCTTCAGAATGGACAACAGAATTTGTCATTATGTTGTCTTGATCACAGATAGAGCTAAGCAATTAGTGGATTTTCTAATTGATGGATTCATTAATAGACCACATTTAATTAATCAGTCTGTACATACCTCCTACAATCCCCCTCTCTCTCACACACACACACACACACTAACTACTCACAAAAAAGTAATTTTTGAATTACCCTTGATTTCATATGATAGCACTCTACTGAAGATTACCATTTTGTAAAACATATTCTTTATCATAAATTTTTTAAAGATAATCTGGACATTATTTACTTGGCAAATGAGTCACTAATCACCTAAATACTATCACACAGTTGCAATTATGTTTATCTTTAAAATATACAATAACCCCATCACTAATATTCTGTAAATAAACAAACTGATAATTAGAAAATGTTGCTATCATTAATAATGGTAATAATGTTTATATTAAAAACATATTATGGTTGCAATTAGAAACAATTATATAGCCAATCAATTTATTTATGTATGTTGTTTGAATAGGATAAACATAGAAATAATATTCAATAAAGATTTGAGACATGAGAATGTTTTGCAGTTATCTACCACACTTACTAAACAGTAAACTGCAGTTATCTACCATACTCACTAAACAATAAACTGCAGTTATCTAAGACTGACTCGGACACTGACAAGTCAAGGTGCAAGGTGATGCTCATATGAAGACTGACTCAGACACTGACAAGTCAAGGTGCAAGGTGATGCTCATATGAAGACTGACTCACACTGACAAGTCAAGGTGCAAGGTGATGCTCATATGTTTTGAGTCAGTCTTCATATGAGCATCACCTTGCACCTTGACTTGTCAGTGTCTGAGTCAGTCTTCATATGAGCATCACCTTGCACCTTGACTTGTCAGTGTCTGAGTCAGACTGATATCTTCAATTCACAGATATGTCTTAAGTACAAATACTTTTGTAATACATTTTATATCTTATATATAACAGACTTGTATATTTTACTAAAAGTAAAATTTTGTATAGATACATATAGCAAATTTGGAATTTTAGTGAACATTCCAATATGGGGTCAGTCCAATGGACTAACTCCATGCTCATTTGTTTAACAGTTTATATCAACATTTTCTGGATAGCATCAGAAAGTTTAAGATTGTATGGCAACACAAAATAAAAAGGTGGATTTTATTAATTTCTAATTTCAAATCAGGTACACTTACCTTTTAAATACCAAAAGTTTTTTGTTGATATTGAAGTCCTGCTGTCAACAAATTGTAATTAAAAATTTTCAAACATCCTTTTAACTTACACATAAGTCTTCCATGCAACTAATACACAAGTGTTTTCCATAAGTAAACAAACAAGACAACATGAGATTGAAGAGGATGCACAAATTTATCAAAACTCTGATTTTAAGTCTTCCAATACTTTACTCCATTTACTGTGGTTTTTCATTAACTGTTACACAAAATTGTGTTGTTTTAGTGCTTATTAAGTTTACATTATTTCAGCCATGCCTTGGTTTGGAATGGACATTGGTGGAACATTAGTAAAGCTGGTCTACTTCGAACCGTATGACATACTAAGTGAAGAAAGTCAGGAAGCAGAAACACTGTCTAAAATACAACATTATCTAAAAAGTAATTCAGCTTATGGTGCCACAGGAAAAAGAGATGCTCACTTGCAAGTATGTATATAACTTCTGATTAATAAATGTAGAATAATATTGTTAGTAATAGAGCATTAGAGAATTGTAAGTTATCATGTGTGAAATATTGTGATTATATGTATTTATATTTGAAACTATATTAAATAATTTGTTATAAGACACCTGGTGAGCAAGTTACTTAAGTTACAATAAAACAAAGTATTGAGTTATGTAGCACATGTGCAGCTCACATACATTCCTCCCTGAGAAAGATTATTTAATTTTTTGTCATTTATTTTTCTTGTATGGTTTGTTAATTTTCTAACAGTAAATAAAAAATGTACTAAAAAAACAAGAAATTTAGTACTTTTTTATGAGTTTTGTATTGTTTGCAGTCAAAGTCTCAATAAAAGTTAATCCTAGTAACTTATTTTTGGTATGATAATTGTTAGTACTTTACTGAATTTTATTTATTTCAAGCATTCAGTTAGAAACAGAAAATAAATAACATGTATAAAAAGTACAATATCATATATATATAATTTAACTTGCTTCCTAAATAAGCTGTAAGTGCATTAATATATTTCTCTTATTTGGTTGAGGGGAACTTGGCAATAGCAAGTTTAAAACTGCAGGCAGAATAATTTAGAAGCTATTATCAGAATGAGCCAGCCTATTACATAATTCAACCAATTAAAATATTCTCTTTCTGTTGGTTATAAATATTAGCAAATTTCAGAAAATTATTTACATTATTGAAAAACTGTGTGTGATAGGAGGGCATGGCAAGTGAATTTGACTTTTTAGTTTATATATATATGTAAAACTAGATGATTTCAGGATATAAAGTTTGATTGTGTCATCAATATCTCTACTGTTTGTATAAAAACTTGGAAAGGTTGGAAAGTATATTGAAATTGGGCAATTCTGAGTGAATATGTATCATAATATAGAGAAGTGAAAACTGATAATTTATTTAAATATATCCTTTTGAAATTAAAAAATTAAAACTTGTGTAATAAAATTTGATTTATTAATTACATGTTGATGCAAAGTATATTGACATATTCTGATAATATATTGTTTCATTAAAAAAAGGTCATGAGCACTTTTATCTACCATATCCAGAGGATTAACTCAAATCAAGTCTTCTTTTCTAACTTATCATTCCATTATGCTAAGAAATGTCCTACAAGGTTTTAGCCAATGCCTTGATAATTTTAAACACATGAAGTTTCTGGTTTTGCACTATACTGTGATGTATTGTCACATAAGTGATGATTATACAGTTTTTCAAATGCCTAAACAATTTTCTTGAAGTCACTTCCAGTTTTGAAAAATAGTCATTTCATTGGACAATTGATAAAACTTATGGGTGTTATGGTTTGAAATATTTCTAATTAGTTTTTTTCTTTCTTGAACAAATTCATAGCTAATTAACCCTTTCTTTACTGGAGAGTAAGTGTGCTCATGTTACAACCTTTTACAGAGTACATATAAAACATAATTACAAAAACTGTTTTTAATGTATGTCAATAAGCTTGACATCAAAACATAGTTTATGATTCAAATTTTTGTATTATCTAAGTTTTAGTTTCTTAATTTCAAAGAGAAATATTTAAGTAAATTCTCAATCTTGGCTTGTTTGTGTCACCTGACATTCTTTTTCTCCAAATTGCCCATTTTAGATTTTATTTCAACCCTTCTATGAGTTTCAAAGTTTACAATTAATTACAGACACATAATATATATATATTTACAAACCAGAATATAATTTTATAATCTACAATCTTTTTCCTTCACTAAAATATATAAGATGTCAAACCCACATGACACGCTCTTCCAGTACCATTTTGTCTAATTATCATTGACATTGCTGTTGGATTATATATAAGCAATATAAAGAGCAACTTCTTTATAAGATTATTTATATGGGTTATTTCATTTTCCTGCTTGTAAGTAGATGCTTGGCCTCGGTTTCTTTGTTTGTGATTGCTGTGTTCAGTTTTGAGCGGCTAATTGATATAAACTTTTTTATATCTTAATTAGAAAACCAGATTAGTTTTAAAGTAATTTTGGAACATTCTGTTATAGTGCCTGATATATTTTTTTGTTCAAAAATGTATATTTAAAAAAAGATGTGAATTAATTTTTTGCACAATGAACATTGTCACAAGAAAGTAGGTTTACCATGTCTTTTCCTTGATGGCAAAAGCTAATTCCAAACATAATTATGAATTTCTTAGTTTTTATTAACACTAATCCTACCAAAAAGTACAGTTAAGTTTTTTTTTTTTTTAGACTTTGAGAGCAAAAATGCAAAAGACCCACGTGTAAGTACTAAATTTCCTGTAAAAATTAGAAACTTATTAGATTAGAGAAGAAAACAAAAGTCAAGTTATAAAATTTTTCCTTATACTTCATATCCTACATCAGGGCAACCCATGTGCACACATCGTGGTATGATTGTAACTTATTCATTTGTTTACACAAGGCTGTCCTGCTGTGATAAATTGTTTTAATGTACTTTGAGATTGTTTCAGTTGTAAAACAAAAAAACCAAATGAAATTAGATGTGAATAGAGTTTTACTGAAAAAACTTGATATTCATTTAGGAGGTTCTATAAGTTATGTAAATTAAATAAGAAAACTGTAAGATGAAGTATTTTTTTCTTAGCATGAAAATCACCTTTCACTGTGATGGATTCAATAAAGGCTTTGGAAATTCACAGACAAATGTTTAGCATAAATGCTTTATTAAAAATTCAGATTTTTTTTGTTTACAACATACTTTCAATATTTACCAAAAGGTTGCTAAATTGATGAAGATACACATAGTAAATTCAGTAAAAATTAACTTCTGATACAGTACATTACCTCCTCTCACATAAATAGCTATTCTTGTTTAGTGCTGCCCAGTATATGCAAAAAAGGTATTTTATGCATGCCACAAGCTTTCTATTTCCCCTCCATAGGAATTGACTGATTCCAATGTGTCTCTCATGTAAATCATCATGTGTCAACCCTCCACCAATATGAGTGTGAAATACTCTCATGACGCATGTGACTTCCTCTGCTCAGTTCTACTGAACTATCACCTCTCATTTGACAGTACTTGTGTGAATCGTAATTTTAATAGTTTAATTTCCGAAGTGGGATTTCTTCATTATTATTTTTTCTTTACAATGAAGAAACCTTTTACTTTAATTTAATTTTCCAGTCTTTTATTTTTTTCTCACACTAGCATATTTTACATCAAACACTTTTGTTTGATTTACATATTTCTACTATGAATTCTGAGGTTCATGTTCCCACTTCTAGTGTTATACCTCTAGCACTATTTTCACAGGCTGAAGGTGGGTAAGACCCATCATTGGATTTCTCTGCTATTATCCATCCTGAGATTGATTGTTATATGGGTAACCTCCTTCTCCTGAACGTGCCCAAATAATCCTTCTGAACATGCCAAAGCTGTTCATGCAGATAAAGATTTGATAGCTTTTTTACACCACCAGATTTTGCTGTGTTCCCCATACCTACCCCTCCTGCAGAATCAGCTAGGCCTAATATGGCAATATGGCATTTTTCAACATGATTTCTCACGTATGTTATGTTTTATCCAATCCCCCGTTTTTCTATGCTTCCTTATTACCTCCATGTTGGCTCGTTTGTTGTCTTTGGCTCTTGCTTTACACATGTGGTTTTGCGGTAGTTGGAGTTTTCTAGGTCATGATGCAACCTTGTCCCAGGTACGTTTGCTGCCTCTTTCTTTTTGGAATTTCTATATATTTTCTTTTGTGAAATGTTTTCGATCCTGTATCTAAGATTTTAGAATCTCATGTCTAATCTGTGCATGAACACTCAACCCTTTCCTCTTTGGTTGCATGTTTGTCGCAGTTGGAGCCATGACACACCCCTATTCCTTTCCTGTTCTGGTCCTTAACAACCTGTTTCTATCCTCTTCCAGGGGTTTCTCTTTTTGTTGTTTAATTCAATATTGATGGACATATCGCCAACAGTACTTTAGACTAACCAGCTCTTGATAACAATGGACACATTTCTTTATTTTTTGAGAGCTGATTATGATTATCTTTAAATATTTTTAATGGACAAAATAATATATCTGTCTCTTCACTACTTGCTAGGGCAAATGCTCAAATGAAAATTGTCATTTCTTGCTCTAATGGAAACAGAGTAAATAAGAATATGATATAAAATTTGTCCTAAGATTAATTTGTTGCTTTAGGCATGTGTAAAAGAGTGAAAAATTCATTTAGATAATTCATACAATAGTTATGTTTAATTACATCAGAAACATTAAGCTTGCTTATATGATTCAGAGGGGTTCATTTTACTGTATGAAGGCTTTTAGGATTGTTTCTAAACTATTGGATTTTTTGCCAATTGTTATAACAAACTTGTAGCAAACTATGGTTATCATATAAGTGTGTGGAAATGCTTAAGAAAGTGAATGTGATGCTAGTGAAGTACAGGGGAGTTAATGTATTTTCCAGAAGACAGAAAGTGGTCTAATAGATAGGATAAGTTTAAAATGATTTCCAGATTTTGGAAGTCAATTAAAAATACAAGAGCACCCCACTTTATTTTTACTGAAACTGCACTTTAGCCATAAGTTCTTGTCTCTTTTTCACTATGTCGGAATTCATCATCTGGATTAATGGAATATTTTTCAAAGAAAATATCTTAATAAAAACATCAATGTCTATTGTCAACATTTAAAAAAATAGTTTAAAATTGCTGAATACTGATCTAATGCTTTCATAAGATACCTCATTTGTTTGGACATATTTGGAGATTTTGCACATATGACTACCTAATGTGCAGACTGAGAAATTATTATTTAAAAACAGCAAAATGCATGATGGCATAATCACTTTAACTAATTTAGAGACAGTAGATTAGGTTTTTTATGATTTGATGTATAGCTCATGTGAATAAAAAGCATTTATGAAATCTATTTGAGTTGTACATCTATTTTGCCAGTATTCCTAAGTAATTTTGTGATCCATAATTATATT